ATGGAAGGGAGTGGGTGTTGTTGGCCAATGTGTATGGCCCGAATTCATATAGAGAGAGGAATACATTTTGGGAAGAGCTAGCTGCAGTCAGGGGCATTTGGGAGGGTCCGTGGTGTTTGGGTGGGGATTTCAATGTAATAAGATATACAAATGAGACAAACAACCCTAATCAGCCCTTAACAACTAGTATGAGACACTTCAACTCCTTGATTGAATCCCTAGAACTAAAAGAACCTACCTTGTTACAAGCCTCTTTCACCTCGTCAAATCTTCAAGAAAATCAAGTGTGCTCAAAACTGGACAGATTCCTTTTGTCCATTGATTGGGAAGAGTTGTGGGGAACCTTAACACTGAAAGCCCTACCTAGAGTGACATCTGTTCATTGCCCCTTAAGCCTCTACCAAGAAAATCTTATTGGAGGCCCCACACCTTTTAGATTTGAGAATATGTGGCTAGAAGTTCCAAATTTTTTGCAAAAGGTAAAAGAATGGTGGTCAGAAGGTGGTATAAGGGCTAGAGATAAAGTGGTGAGTTTCTCCAAGAAATTGAAAAGATTGAAGGAAAAGGTCAAGGAGTGGAACAAAGAGGAATTTGGAAAACTTGAGGTCATAAAGGAGGAATTAGCTAGGAAAATAGAGGAAGTGGACCAAAAGGAGGCCCCTAAAGAGTGTGGGCCGGAGGATAGAGCTGAAAGATGGAACTTAAAAGTGCAATTGGAAGAGATCCTAAGAAAGGAAGAAAGTTCTTGGAGGCAAAAATCTAGGTGTAAATGGCTTCTGGAGGGGATGGAAATACCAGATTTTTCCACTCCCTAGCAAACGGGAGAAGACGGAAAAATCAAATCTCCAGTATAGAGGTGGAGGGAAGAGTAGTAAATGCAAAGGAGGAAATTGAAAGGTGCTTCGTGGATCATTTTAAATCAATCCTTGCATCCTTTAATGAAAACAATGCAGAATTGGGAGATTTACAGTGGGACAGAGTGCCAGAATCCGAAGCTAACCTCCTAGAAAGAGCTTTTAGTATTGAGGAGATACATGAAGCAATTTTCTCGATGGATAGATCTAAAGCTCCGGGGCGGATGGATTTTCAATGGCTTTCTATTAGGATTGTTGGGAAATCTTGAAAGATGAATTAATGGATGTATTTGTGGAGTTCTATCAAAAAGGAAAGTTATCGCCTGGAGCAAATGCAACTTTTATTGCTTTAGTGCCAAAAAAGGAGGCCAAAACCCCTAAGATTGTCTTGCCCTATGTTATCTCTCAGAACCAAGGAGCATTTGTAGAAGGGAGACAAATTGTGGATCAAATCTTAGTGGCAGCTAAGAAAAAACAAGGTGGCAAAGGTTTGATTTGTAAATTGCACCTAGAAAAAGCTTATGATATGGTGGATTGGTCCTTCCTGTTGAATCTAATGGAAAAGATGGGGTTAGGTGAAAGATGGAGGATGTGGATTAAAGAATGTATTAGCTTAGCACATTTTTCTATTCTGATGAATGGGGTAGCAAAGGGTTTCTTCTAGGCTAAAAGAGGACTAAGACAGGGTGATCCCTTATCCTCATTCTTATTCACTTTTGTGGCCGAGGTCTTGAGTAGACAAATCACCAAGGCTGACCAAGAAAATCAGTTTAAACGTTGGAGGATGAGTAGATCAGAAGTGGTGGTGTCTCATTTGCAATTTGTTGATGACATAATCATTCTCTGTGAAAGCTGTGATGAATCTAGTTTAAGGAATCTGAAAAGATTGGTGGACGAATTTCAACAGGCCTCCAAACTGAAAGTCAATTAGGGAAAATCTGTGTAGCTGGAATCAACATTGAAAGGGGCGGGGGGGCATTCAAGCCATGGCAAATCTGCTATTCTGTGAAGTGAAAAATTGGCCTCTAGAATACTTAGGTATGCCCTTGGGTGGGAATCCGAAAGCTGAAAGCTTTTGGAAACCGGTGCTAGAGAGGTTCACAAAGAAGTTGGCAATGTGGAATATATATCCTTGGGGGGAAGAATCACTTTGATAAAATCTACCCTAGCAAACCTATCCACTTATTTCCTCTCCACCTTTAAGATCCCGGTGAAAATAGCTAGGAAGTTGGAGAAAATTATGAGGGACTTTTTGTGGGAACCAGGCGGTGAAAAGAAAGGTCATTTAGTGAAGTGGGAGAAAGTTTGTTACCCTAAGGAGCAGGGTGGATTAGGTATAGGGAACTTATTAAAGAAAAACAAGGCCCTTCTAGGGAAATGGCTGTGGAGATTCCCTTGTGAAGAAGATAGGTTGTGGCACAGGGTCATTAAAAGCATTCATGGTGAAGCAGATAACGGCTGGGATGCAAAACTAGACCCCAATGCAACTCCAAATTCTCCTTGGAAGGCAATCTTTGAGGTATACCCAACCTTTCTTCAATTTATTAGGTTTGATGTTGGTTGTGGCAATAAAGTTTTATTTTGGGAAGACCTTTGGGTTGGGGATGTGCCTCTTATGGTCAAATTCCCAGACCTCTACTCCTTATCAAACCATAAAAACAAACCTGTTGCTAGGTTTGTTTTGCTTTCAGATTTGGRTATCTCTTGGGATTTTGGATTCAGGAGAGGGTTGAGGGAAAATGAATGTGAGTCTCTAGTGCTTTTGATCTCATCACTTGAGAGGGTCTACTTGGACCAATCTATAGCTGATTGTAGAGTTTGGTCTCCAACTTCTGATGGTTTATTTTCCTATGCATCTTTCTTTGGTTTTCTCACTCACACTGATCCTATGGGGGTGAACTTCCTAGTGAGAGAAATCTTGTCTAAATCGATCCCTCCAAAACTACAAGCTTTCTGTTGGGAAGTGTTCCTAGGGAAGGTAAACACTTGTGATGTGCTACAGAAAAGGAGGCCAAACAATTGCCTCTTTCGTCACGTGTGTGTCCTTTGTATGGGTTGTGGTGAAACCCTAACCCACTTACTTTTATCCTGCTCTTTTGCTTCTGGTATTTGGAATGTTATTTGTTCTCTCTTTGGATGCAAATGGGTCCCTCCACATGATGTGGTAAGTCTATTCAGCCCCTCTTAGTCAACAGAAGAAAAGAGGAAAGTGCTTATGGAAGGCAGCAAGAGCAGCTACAGTATGGACTATATGGGAGGAAAGAAACCTAAGAATTTTTTCTAGAAAAAGTAAAACAAAGGAGGAAGTTATTGAAGCTATAAAAATCAAAATTGCACATTGGGCGAAGACCATAGAGATATTCAAAAACTACTCTGCGAATGAGATTCTAAGAAATTGGGCTGCAGTAGCACAAACATATGCACCCAAAGTATTTGTAAGTATGGAATGGAAGCCACCGGCACTGAACAAACTAAAACTAAACTTTGATGGGAGTTCTCTTGGCAACCCAAGAAGGGTGGGCATAGGGGGTGTGTTTAGAAATCATCTGGGTGTGGTGGTGGCACTCTACTCAGGACCAATAGGTTTTGGTGACTCAGTTCAGGTTGAATCTCTAGCCCTACTTCAAGGTCTAAAGATGGCTGAGCAGATGGGAACAATAGACTTAGAAATAGAAGGAGACTCACTATTGGTCATTTCTTGGGCCTAAAACATCACATCAGTACCTTGGAAGCTCAAATTTATCTTCAGAGAAATTGACATACTTGCAAGGAGGATCAACTCTCAGTTTGGTTGGGTCAAATGGCGGATGCAAATGGGATGGAGGATACCCTAGCAAAACAAGGGGCAAATAGATCTTCATTGTATTGGGCAGAATTGTAACTGATTGCTGGAGATTGCAGTTTAGACTAATGTCTCTCTGCAATCTTTATCTATTGTAACTGAATATCTCTGTTATTAATGAAAATTTCTTGGTGATCAGAAAAAAAAAGCCACCATTGGTTCTTGGCTTTCAACAGATTCTTCTAAACCCAACCTTTTCCAATCTCTTCCTTCTTTCCATCATTTCCTCCTTTCCTGGTTCTCCATCTACTCCATCTGCCCGGGCCTTCACTGCCATCACAGTCCAACCCTGCAACTTGTCGCCTTCAGGAATGGTAATCATTTGTTTTTCCCTTTTTCGAACTTTTCTTCCAGGGTTACAAACCAACGTTTGGAGTTTCTTCTTTTCTCAGCAAAGTATTCCCTCCTTAAGTCCCTGAAAGTACTGTTCCATATTTCGCACCAGCTTACATAGACTGCTTTGTCAAGAAAGCTTTGAAACCAGGGTACAGCTGCACCCACTAGCAGTATCGTTCCTCTCCTTCCTTCTCTTACCTCTATCATGAACTCTTTCTGGTAGATGATCTCTTCCAACAGTAGTTCTTTCCTTTCTACTCTCAAGATGTTCCTCCACTTCCTAGCCGGTGAGAAACCTTTGGACTCCATTTTCTCTTTTCAATTTCACAGATGCTTGCTTGTGTCTGCAACTCAACTTCTTTCAAGTTTTTGAGCTTGTTCGATGATCAGAAACTCTTCCTTGGTTTGCCTCATCTGTCCATGAGATACAGACTTTTCTTCCAGATACAAACTAATATTTTTATTTTTGATTGGGGTTCTATGTGTCGTTGGTTGCCAGGAAGGATAGCTAGGTTATGCCTTGAGAAAGATATAGACAGTTAAATTATTTATGAGCCTATTGGAGGGGGAGCTCTTAGATGAAGAGGCTTGAGGAAAGAAAACTGTATTATACTTTTTAACACTAATATTTAATGTAATTAGCTATATTTAATCAACATCTCATGACGGTTTATGCAAAAAACATGTCAAAGGTTGTTATATAGTTCCAAGTGATGTTTAGTTGACTTTTATCTGTTATTGGAGATCTCATGGAATTCAATTAGAAAATCTTGCAGATAACCATAGCTTTTCAAAAATGCAAGGTGATGGGAGGTAAAATGGCAGATGGTCAAAAGACTTATGATCTGAAACCATARCTTCCACTTTTTTCACCCTCCACAGTGGCCCATTGCTTAATACTTTGTTTTAATGTTTTATTTATTTATTAATTTATCATGTCATCTTCTATACACATGGTGCTAATGCAGGGTCTATTGGAAGGAGTTAGCCAATCATTTACCAAGAACTTCCATTTCATTGACTCAGTCAAAGCATATCTTTCCTATGCTTTATTGCGAGCTGCAGTTTCTCTGTCCCCAGTTGTATTTCAGGTTACCAGCCTGCTTCTTGTTGTCCTTCCTTTTAGTCTGAAATAGTTGGAATCTTTTGTTGTGGTATATATGTATATGTGTTTCCCTTTTTTGGCAGTATGCAACAGGGATATTTGCTGTGCTTTTGCTGCGATTTAGGGAAAGTCTTAAAGTATGTCTATCATTGATTGGAGCTTTCCCTTTGCTTTTTTTTTTCCAAAAGTTTTTTCAAGTGTCCTCTGCTTCAATTGTTCTCAATTATTTGCACATAAACCCTTTTCAGGGCGAAATTGGGATTTTCTTCCCCTTGATAGTTCTGCGGTCATTGGATAGCTCTGATAGTTCGCTTAGCCAAAGAACAAGTGTTCTCCGGTATAATGCTCTTTGTGGTTCAACCAATTTTCATTTTTCTTCTTAGATTTAATTGGTTTATACATTATTAGCATGTTGGGGTGGTTTTCTAATATATATTGTTTTATCTGTTTACCTTGTGCAGTTCTGATATTATTTTGCTTGCAGGATGCTTGAGAAAGTTTGCAAGGATCCACAGATGCTTGTTGACATATATGTTAACTATGATTGTGACCTTGAGGCACCAAATTTGTTTGAGTGCATGGTATACTATTGAACATTATTCTGATGTGATGGTAAATTTTCTGTGTGCTTGTGTGTCCTACGCACATCTAATGCATTTATATCTTTTAATACTTGGTATTTCAAAGGTTACTGCTTTATCAAGAATAGCACAAGGGACTCAAAATGCAGATCCAAACTCAGTTTCTGTATCCCCATCAACATCAATTAAAAGTTCATCTCTTCAGGTAATTTCATATTTTCTCTCTTCTTGTAAGGAAGCACATATTGATTGAGTTTTTGGCTTACCATTTCTTGGCCCTATCCATTTATTTAATATTTTATAACTTGCGCAGAGCCTTGTGAGTGTGCTCAAATCACTGGTTCATTGGGAAAAGTCACGCAGAGAATCTGAAAAACAGAAAAGAAACAATCAATCGGTAGAGGAAGAGGTTTTGGCAAGAGAATCTGTTGAGCCTAAGAGCAGGGAGGACAACACTCCTAGTAACTTTGAGAAGGCCAAGGCTCATAAATCAACCATGGAAGCTGCTATCTCGGAGGTATTTGCTGAGCGGATAACTTTGTAACTAAAGCAGAAAACTCACATGCAGCTCTAGTCACGAGAATTGACAAACAAATAAAGAAGAGAATATAGAATTACTTAGGGCTGTCAATGGGTTGGGTAGACCCAGCAGGCCATGTCTCCCAATTATAACTGGATTGGGATCAATTTTTGGTTGTTCTGGACTAATTAAGACCTGAACTAGCTATACATACATATATATATATATGTATAAGAATATTGGGTATATTCAAAAATACCCCCAGTTTAATACAGTCCCGGATTCCCAACCCACAAAATTCTGCATGCACCCACTTATCAAAAAAAAAAAAAAAAATCTGCACGCACCCTGAAACACTGGCATCCACCCACACAGGAATACCTCCTGTAAATGTGTGTTAAATTCATGGGGAAATGTTTCAATGTGTGGGTGGAGTGGATGCTACTGCTTCAGGGTGCGTGCAGAGTTTTTGTGGGGAGGAGATCCCATATAGTTTAGTACCTACTGTACTTATTTACTAAAAAAAATTTATCTCATGGTATACTTATAATATTATCATATTACAATATCCAAATGTGTCAATCTAGCAAATAAGTTTGTTGTCAAATTATGGGTTAAAAGTATAACTGTTAATTAGAGACAAGTCTTAGGCCAGACCCAATAGTCCTTGTTACAATTCCTATGAGATCTGGTTCAGAACTAGTTTTGTATATTTACTTAGGGTCAGGTCTGGGTCTACACTTCCTGAACCTGACCCTACCCATTGACAGTGTTAGAAGTACAAGCAAAAATAAATCTTACTGTAGCTGTTGGCTGTGGTAGGAGCAGAGAAGAAGCTATTTTATTGATGTTCAACTATTAGAATAATAGCATTGTTAACAAGACCTGTTACCTATATTTATAATCTAATAATAATCAAGGTGTGATTTCCTATTTTAATTCAAATTCTACTAGGAATAGGAAATATTTGTAAGTCTACTGTTTCTACTAAACCTAAAATTGAGAAACTAGGAATTTCTAAAAACAGTAAGGGGCCATTTGATATCAGTTAAAGTGGCGAAACTTGAAGAAGCTTGAAGTTTCTAAAGGTAGTAAGGGCCCTTTTGATAAAATCTGAAGTGGCTGAACTGAATAAAATATTTCGTTGTGTTTCTGTGAATAAACTATTCTGGAGGTTGCAAGCTCCTTAGTTGTTGAATGAAGTTGGATTTATTACTTTTCCCTTCAATATTTTGTTATTTAATTATTATTATTATTATTTTAAAAGGTAAAAGGAAAAGTATTCATTAAAATAAAAAAAGATAAATATAATCAACAGCAGGTGTTAAGGCAACACCTGGGACAACACAATCTAAACACAACATTACATCGATCTAAATAGAAAAAAATCACACAATCCAAAGCTTTTCTTGGAAAAAATCTTCTTCCAGAAACTCTGGAGTCTGGAACCACAAACTATTGGACAGATGCCCAAGGCATTTTGCCAACTTGCCCTCACCTTAATCATCTTCTTCAGACACCTCTTCGTTTCAGATGATCAGCAAGTTAATCCTGTATAGACACTGCTGATCCTAGTAGTGTATGGATTTAAAAAGGAAAAAAAAGGAACCTGCTCTGATACTAAGTTGATAGAAAGCACAGCAGTAAATCTTGTGATTTGATTAAAGAAGATGTTCTGAAATGTAGAAAAACAGATCAGAATAGAAGTGAAGAAGAGTAGAGAGAAGAGAAGATTTTGGGAGGAAGAGATCGTGGCTGTCTTTCAGCCCACCCTTAATAGGGTGGTAGCAAGAATAAAGAAATAGAAAAAGGGTTTTAGGCCCTTTACAACTAAAGCCCATTAAACATGAAATAAAAAGAGAAATAGTCAAAAGAACCAGGATGCTCCTCAAGGCCCAATTACCCAGCACATACTTTGTATGGATTTTTAAGCAGGATTACCCATCGACCTTGCCTTCTATCCATCTGCTTTACATTAACATCATGCTTAATCTGCTGTTGCATTGCTTCTAAGTCCTCTCTACTCACTATGTTCCTTGTTTTTTCTTCCCTTTGGGGTTGATCTTCCTACCCTGCTGTGGATCTATAAAAAGGCAGATCGATAACCTCGTATTCTCGTGCCAATAAAAGTAGAAAACTATTTGAGTGCAACATTTGGCTTCAACAACAAGTATTCACAGTCAACTAAAGAAGAGAAATTGAAGTAGAAGCAAAAATAATCCTGCTGTGGTTGTTGGCTATGGTAATTTCCCATTCAAACTAGCTTTATAACTCTCTAMTAATTGTAGTAAAACTAACTTGATGTAGGAAACTAGAAATTACCAAAAATAGTATGCCATGATTTTAAAAATAGAAATTACAGAAACTACTATAAATAATAATTACAGCAAGAAAAGTAAATTTCTAAAATATTGTAACTTAATGTGATTCCTTACACACCAAAGAAAGCTAGAAATTAAATTTGAAAAAACTTAAAAAATACTAAAATCCAAATCATGCAAACATTATGCAATTGTCACTGTTCATGAATAATTTTGGTTTCTCCTTACACAATTTTTTTCCTCGCTTCTGTATTTGCATCGAAAACTTTACATTGTTGGAAACTAAAATGTTATAAAGGATTTTAGAATTGTATTATTCATTTTATCCATCTCTGGATTAATAATGTAGAATATTTTTTTTTTGATATTTTATCCTTGAGCTTTTAAATATCCAAGGATTAGAGTTTTTCATTGTTTTTTGTCAGTTCAACAGACAACCTGTCAAGGGAATTGAGTATTTATTTACAAATATGCTGGTAGAGAAGTTACCTGGTTCAGTTGCTCAATTTCTGAGGAACACTCCCAGTTTGGATAAGGTGAGGCTTATAGTAGTATGATTTTAGTTTTTACTTTTGAAGAAGCTTATCTAAGCTCATTGATTTGCAGGCTATGATTGGTGATTACTTGGGTCAACATGAGGAGTTCCCCCTTGCTGTCATGCATGCGTATGTGGATTCAATGAACTTTTCTGGAATGAAATTTGATATTGCAATACGTGARTTCCTAAGAGGATTTCGACTTCCAGGGGAAGCACAGAAAATAGATCGCATCATGGAAAAATTTGCTGAGCGGTATGGAAGTATACATGTATACATGTTAATTGCTTGTGTGTGCAATTTCCTGTGCATATATCTATGCTATGTACTTGTATCTCTATAGGTGTACATATTTTTTCTAAAATTGGGGAATTAGATAAATTAATTGGGGAAGTAGATGCTTAATCACACACGATGGATTGGGAGAATAGGGTTGATCATTCGGCCTGGGCCCGCATAGCTCAGCCCAGCTTGTCCCAGAAATTTCTGGTCCTGGGCAGTGGTTGCAGCCATTTTTTTTCCAGGCCTGGGCCAAGCAAATCCTTTGCCCGCCCAGTCTAGTCCAGCCCAGCCCAGCCCAGCCCAGCTTGGAAAGTATGTTATATATGTATATTCCATATATTTATATACTAATACCTTATAGATATGTAATAAAAGCCATATATGCATATATATATATATATTTATATAAAACCATATATAACATATATGGTATATATATTAATAAATTAATATATACAAGGGACTGCCTAGACAACAAATATTTTGGGCAAAACTCTAAAGTTTTTTTTCTTGGTGAAGAAATTGCCACGTTGATGTAATACCTTCATTTTGCAATTAACAAAATTTCACCTTATTGATAAAAAAATAATATATACAATAATTATATATATATATATATATGTTCTGTAATTTTTAGTTTATAATTAGTAGAAAGCCTTATGTGCTGATTTTGGCCAAGCTTCTTGTGAAAGGAAGAGGAGAAAGTTGGGGATTTCAGCAATAGACAGAGGAAAGGGAAGAAAAAGAGAAGAAGGTCGACTAGGATAGTGATCATTAACCCTAGCCGCCAGCCCCTCATTCTATTTATAATTAACCTAAATATGGGATATTACAAAGATGCCCCTAGTAGGGTGACAACTCAACTAAGTACTTACAATTCCTTTAAAAATAAAAGACTAATGGGCCCAAGGCCCAACAACTTCTTAAAATAAAAAGAAAACAAACTAAACATAAATCAGCCCACTCAACACTCCCCCTCAAGTTGGGAATAGATGTCMCACATTCCCAACTTGCGTAGATCATGTTCCAGCTTATTCTTCGCAACACCTTTTGTGAGAACATCAGCAAGCTGCAGATCAGAAGAAATGTTTGGAAGACAAACTTCTCAGAAGTTACCCTTTCTCTGATAAAATGTCTATCTACTTCAATGTGCTTAGTACGGTCATGCTGGACTGGATTATGGGCAATATTGATTATTGCCTGGTTATCGCAGTATAGCATCATAGGTTCTTCTGCCTGTACACCGATTTCTTYTAACAGAGAACGGATCCAGAGAAGTTCTGAAACTCCATGTGCCATGGCCCTATATTCCGCTTCTGCACTTGATCTTGCCACAACTGTTTGTTTTTTACTCTTCCATGAGACTAGGTTACCCCCAACTACGGTGCACACTCCTGAAGTTGACCTTCTATCATCAAGGCATCCTGCCCAATCCACATCTGTATAGGTCTCTAGCTTCAGTTGTCCATGATCAGTAAACAATATGCCTCTGCTTGGATGTCCCTTCAAATATGCAAGGATCCTGTCAATTGCTTTCCAGTGCTGATCTCGTGGAGCATGCATGTATTGACTCACTACACTTACTGCATAGGAGATGTCCGGTCTTGTCATACACAAGTGTAGTAGCCGACCGACAAGTCTTTGGTATCTCCCAAGGTCCTTCACTGGTTCACCTTCTGATGCACTGATTCTATGGTTCTGATCAATGGCGGTGCTAGCTGCCTTTGTTCCAAGCTTCCCTGTCTCTTGGAGAAGGTCCAAGACATACTTCCTTTGAGAGATAAAAATGCCATGTTTCGATCTTGCAACTTCAATGCCTAAGAAGTATCTTAGTTCTCCAAGATCCTTAATCTCAAATTCCTTATGCAGGTTCCTCTTCAAACTATCAATCTCACTCAGATCATTCCCAGTGACAACAATGTCATCCACATAAACAATTAGGATTGACAGCAAAGATCCCCTGCGTTTCACAAACAAGGTGTGATCAGATTGAGTTTGAGTGTAGCAAAAAACAATCAGGGCCTTTTTGAATCTGTCAAACCATGCTCTGGGAGATTGTTTCAAGCCATATAGTGACTTCTTCAGCTTGCACACCTTTCCCTTTTCAACATTATCATAAAAACCAGCTGGAAGATCCATATACACCTCTTCTTGCAGATCCCC